TCTCTCTCTCTCTCTCTCTGAGAAACAGTGTGTGCATTTCTCTCTGTTTGAGAGTCAGAGTGCGTGCACCTCTCTCTCACTGAAAAACAGTGTGTGCATGTCTCTTTCTCTGAGTCAGAGCATGTACCTTTCTCTCTCTCTCTGTCTCTGAGAGAGAGTGTGTGCATTTCTCTCTCTCTGAATAAGAATGTGTGCATTTCTCTCTCTCTGAGAGACAGAATGTGTGCATTCCTCTCTCTCTCTCTTTCTGAGAAACTGTGCATTCCTCTCTCTCTCTGAGAGACAGTGTGCATTCTTCTCTCTCTCTGAGAGACAGTGTGTGTGCATTTCTCTCTCCCTCTCTCTGAGAGACAGTGTGTGCGCATTTCTCTCTCCCTCTCTCTGAGAGACAGAGTGTGTGCGTTTCTCTCTCCCTCTCTCTGAGAGACAGAGTGTGTGCATTTCTCTCACTATGTCTCTCTCTCTGTGAGAGTCAGTGTGTTGCGTTTGGAGTAGAGAGCCTGAGGGGAGGAGGAGGAGGATTAGAGTAGCCAGCTCATGAATGGTACCACGTCACAGGCTCCCACAGTTCACAGCAGAATGAAGAAGCAATGGCAGCTCAGACAGGAAGGACAGCTGGGAACGGGGAGCCAGGAGGACCCTGGGAATCTCGCCTCGCCCGCGCGCACCCTGAGCAGTTCGGTCTGGGCGACCATCGAAGAGGTGACGGCTCCGAGCGTCCGTGTCTCCCCTCCCTTCTCTCACCTACACCCTTCCCAGCAACTCTCTGGCCGACGCGATCGACCTGTTGCTCTCTGCCTTTGCAGCCTCCCCCCTCACACCCTCCCCCCTGGTAGCTGCCGATGTACTGAGGTGGGTGGGGTGTGGGGGGTGTGGGTGGGGGCCGATCGCTCAGCCAGGAGTTATCTGGGACTAATTTTTGGAAGTTTGGCTGCAGGCTGTCTCTCGTTAAGCTTCAAGCACCTGTTGATGCTGTTGGCGAAGCCTGAGTGCTTATCCTCTCTCGCCGTCCCGTTCTGTTTTCTTTAGCCGCCCCCCCCCCCCCCCCCCCCACACAGCTTCCCTTCAGACCTGCACCCCTTCCAAGCGTGTCTAGTAAATCATTGAGAGCGTGTCTTGTAGAGGGGGGTGGTTTACTGGCAGGCATGGGAGCAGGAGAGAGACTGGTGAACTACAGAGAGACGCAACGTCAGTCCTGGTATAACTTGTTTCAGAGAGCTACCTGTGTGTTAATTGTGTCTGTGTGCACGCGTCTGTGTGTGTGCATGGTGTATCTGCAAGAGTGTGTGTGTGTGTGTGTGTGGTGTATCCGCAGGAGAGTGTGTATGTGCAGGAGTCTGTGTTTGTGTGTTTCTGCAAGAGAGTGTATGTGTGAGTGTGTGTGGTGTATCTGCAGGAGAGAGTGTGTGTGTGTGTGCAGGAGTCTGTTTGTGTGTGTGTGTCTGTGTGTGGTGTATCCGCAGGAGAGTGTGTGTGTAGGAGTCTGTGTGTGTTTTTGTATGGTGTATCTGCAGGAGCATGTGTGTGCAGGAGTCTGTGTGTGTCTTTGTATGGTGTATCTGCAGGAGAGTGTGTGTGCAGGTGTCTGTGTGTGTGTGTGTGTGTGTGTGTGGTGTATCTGCAGGAGAGTGTGTGTGTAGGAGTCTGTGTG